CCGATATTATCAGATAATTTCCCCCCTAACCTCCCTACGGGAGGTAGGGGGGGAAATATGGGGAACTGATAAATTGTGCGAATAAAGAAGCAAATTCCGGGGAATCGCCTGTAAGCTCTAAAAACCAAGCTGGATGCTTCTAGTGGCTGCTGTAATTAAGCAGGTAGGGTAACATCTTTAGAGAAGAGACGAAAGTCAAAGGGAAATCGCGGAGCTAAATCACTATTTTTCCTTCTTTTTTTTTAAAAAAAAAAAAGGTAAAGATAACGTGTAAAAGTGCAACGAGCAGACGCTTCTTCAGGATCTATAAGGTAGAAACTGTAAGGTGTGTTCTTGTAGCCATGAGAGTGGTGCTTGAAGAAAAAAAGTAACTCAAGCTTAATATTAAACACAATAACCCTACCAAAAAGAAGTGATAATGATGGTACAAGTTGTGTAACGGAATGGTGTAACGATACATTCCCTGTCTCCTGGACTAGCCCTGTGAAATTGGAATAGCAGTGTATCGTGTGGTTATTAATAAATAATCTCGCTGCGTAAGTGAAAATCTTACTCTATAATCTTCAAATGGTTCTGAGCTAAGGTTACAACCAAACAGAATACTAAATTATAGAAAAATTAGGTGAAAACGGTTAAAGGTATCCTAACCCAAGACCGTCGGCAATTGTAAATGTCGCTACAGACTGCAACACCGAGGCTAGAGCTGAAATGCCTGTCTAAATGTACAGTCGAGTTCTGTAATGCAAGATTATGCATAAGAGGAAAGGATCATCTAAATAAATATTAGATAGCCATCGACACAATGGTAAGATAACCTCTCGTTAATCAGGGATATGGTAGATACTGCTCACCTGGAGTTAGACGAGAGTGCGACTAGAGAAGTGCTATTTATTTTTTTTTTATCTTTAAATTTCTACCTCCCTACATTTTATTCTAATAAAATTAGTAGGATGGGAGGAGGGAAATAAGGGAAAAGGCAAAAAAAATATATTTATTTTGATTCAAAATAAATTGGCAATAGGGAGAATACCCCTCAAGCTGTCCATGCTTTGAGCTCATACGACGTGCAATAAAAGTGATTTCATTGTGCGAAGCTCGTATAAAATAAAATAATGAAAATTATCCTGCCTAATCCTATATAGAATAGGTAGGTGAGCTAGACTGATATGGATAGATGAACGAATTCACGATAGAAGCGTATTCCAAGAAAAAGTTGATAGTAGTTGAGAGTTCTCGATCTCAATTAATGGACCGATAAATCAACGTACGTATAGTGAGATCCTAAGTCAGACATTAAAGTGTCAAATAGTAAACTAGGTAAGCCCTACATGAACCAAGGAAAAAGGAAGTTAGATCGTAAGATTTAATATATTATAGAGGGTATAGGATGTTCTAAAAAGCAAAGGCCTTGCCGTAATAGCAGGGATAGAATCCTAGTGATTTATTCTAAAGAATGCTAACTTAGAACAAGTTTGAATATAATTATTCAGGCTCGAGCCGTATGCGATGAAAGTTGCACGTACGGTTCTTAAGGGGGGAAAGAGCTGTAAAGTTCCTACCTATCCTGACAGACCCCATGCATCTTTACTGTCACTAATTACTGATTATCTTTGTGAATATTCAGTCTAGAAGGAAATAGTTTTTATGTTAATTGAGATACCTTCAATTTATTAAGATATGAATGAAATGATTTATTAGGGAAAATTGTATCAAATATTTAATTCTAATGATACTAGTCGATCAGCCTATTTCAGCTTACTAATGATTAGTGAGTAACCTTGGTCAAGGAAAAGTAGTTAGGGGACAGTTTACTCGGGGCAAGGACCTTGTAAAAAGTAAACAAGAGTGTCTAATATAGAATAACAATATATTGTTTGCAATTTGAATTATAGAAGTATAATGATAATCATATAACATTTAATCATATTTGCTAATAGGTTTACTTTTAGCACATACGATTAAGAAAAGGTAGGATTTTAACTAATGTGAAATTAGAGATAAAGAGTCTATTATTAAATTATAATAAATTCAAACTAGTAAAGCTAGTGATGATAAGAATATCTAAAAAGCACAACGGCTTAATCTTGCCTAACTGTTTGATTGCCAACAAATCTTACAGACGCATACGCGGGGCATAGGATCACTGAATTCTTTATGGAAGGTTCAAGGATTATAGGAAAAGATACGCTGGGGATAAATGTTTGTCCTTTAATATTTAATGAGGCCGGCTCCTTGCTTTTTTTTTGCCTTTTCTCTGAAAAGATAAAAAGATTATAGTCCGGCCTGCTAAATAATTAATACAAGAATTGGGTCAAATTCAAGAAGAACTAAAATCAATAGTAAACTTGAAGCGAAGTTTAGCTGAAAGATCTAAATCCGTCCAACGACTATAAGGTGAGTGACATAACAATAATCCTTAATGATATACCCACCATATATACACCATTTTTTCCCCATTACCCTTATTTACATTTTCTAGTAAATTACTAGTGGGGGCCCTTGTTAGTTAGCGTAGCTAGGAAAACAGAAGCAGTACCATCAAATTTTAATAGATAAAAGAACTGAATAAGACATAACAAAATGAAGAAAACCAAATTAAGAGAAGTAAACTCAGCTTCAAGAGAATGAAAAGTAACTGTATATCAACACAGAACGAGAAGTGAAGCAACAAATCTGCCAATAAGCCTAGAGAAATTAAATAGATTAATCAAAAGCTATATGAGATTGAGGGTCAGTAGAGTAATCTGTAAGGGAAGAAACGGTAAATACATTATAAACATTAGAAGAAGAAGAATCCTATTGAGACAAACATATGTTAGTGATGCAGAGATAAAGTTAAATAACAATAAAGCAAAGATAACATTATATCTAGTCGATAGAGAAAGAGAAGTATTAGCAAAAAAATATCTAAAGTTAAAGAAAATATTCAGTACACTAATGTTAGACCGTTACAATAAATTCTATCATGGTACAATGAGAATGCTGAGCCCGATCTTTAGCCTACAGTCATTACAACTAAGAAAAGAGCTGCAAAGCATTGGGTTTCCACTATCGTTCGCCTTTATTAAAGAATTTATTAAGTTAAAGAATCTTTATCTGAAAAAGGTTTGAAGCGTATTAATATCGAGAAGTCTTTATAAAAGTTTAAATAGCTTGAGAGAAATAGAGTTAAATTATACGCTAAATCAAAACAAGTTAAATAATAATACTATGCTCTTAAAATTAAGCAAGATGATAGAGAAGTTACTGGCTATTGGAAGAAATAAGAAATATTTTATAGAATATAATATTGTCAAATTAAAGTCTATAGCATATAATACGGATTTGTTCACACAAGCATTAGCATTAAAACTAAAAAAGACAAGAATTAATCGAATAAAAAGTATGTTAAGTCTAATAAATAGAGCTTACATACCACAGATTGATAGTCCTGACAGTGAAATGAGTAGAGATCTAATGCAAGAGACTAGAACAAAAGACGAGTTAGCCTTACCATTAGCAACAACAAACTCTAAGAATGAGATACATAACTCTGTTTATTCGAATATCGGATATAAGAACATTAGTGGAATAAGAATTGAAGTGAGTGGGAGATTAACAAAACGTTATAGAGCAGATAAATCAGTATCAACCATAAAATATAAAGGTGGACTAATGAACATAGATAGCACACTAAAAGATATAAAGTCAATCAAGTTCAGAGGTAACGCCAACACTAATATCTCGTATTCAATAACAAAGTCAAAACGTAGAATCGGAGCGTTTGCGGTAAAAGGCTGATTAGCAGGGAAATAACTATAAAGAAGGGACAACAAAGGTAAAGAAGGTACTGCTACAATTATATATACTAAAATAACAAGGGAATGGCTGGTGAAATAAATATGAATGACATAGTCTGAACCCAAATCGAAAGAACGGGAAAAATAAGAGAATAAAAAATCTTAATAACAAATTGAACAGGCTAATAACGCTAGAGCGTGCAAATTGAGAGCGTTGATTGGTACCTCGATGTCGGCTTAGCTTATCCTCTAGGTTGTAGAAGCTTAGAAGGGTTCGACTGTTCGTCGATTAAAAAGCTACATGAGCTGGGTAGTATTTAGCTCAGTTATATAAAATAGGGTTAATTTCAAGAAGAACTAACAAATAAGAACGTAGGTCGACTTGAAGCGTAAATTAAGGAGTGAAATCTTAAAAGCGTTAAACGACTAAAAGGAGATTAGATATCTGACACCCAGGTCCAAATGGTGACCAGAGGGGTAGAAGAGTATGAAAGCAAGAATCCAATAATACCCTACAAATGATATGAGTAACTAAGTACCATAATATTTGAAGACATAGTCTAAACCAATATCGAAAGATTTGGCAATACAGTAAATACGTCGTGAGACAGTATGGTTTCTATCTTCTCCGGGAAATTGGAATAAAATAAGAACTAACTTTAGTACGCAAGGACCGAGTAGTTATAATTAACTTTGTTACTAACCAATGGTATACCTGTTGTTTAGACTCTCTGCAAAAAGAGAGGTGTTGTCTTTTCACAAGATCAATTAAGGGTTTAGGCATGGCAGGAAAGCTAAGTTAGACGAGATAAGTGCTGAAAGCATATAGGCACGAAGCTAATCTTAAGATATTTCTAAAATACGTAATGTTCTATTACAAACATAGGCTCAATTTGGAAGACTCCAGAGAGTTGAAAGATTAGAGTACTAATTTATTATCAAACTAATTTACCATATATCAACATTAAAAGTCCCCACTATAATTAATTATTAAAATAGAGTGGAGACAAACTAAATAAAAAAGCATTGGCCTGATTCGTATAATGAGCTAATGCAATTGTTTTGTAATCAATAAAAGAGAGTGCAATTCTCTCATCGGGTAGGAATAAATAAGAATAAGGGATTAGTGGTCAAATGGTTAAGACGTAGCTTTTTCACGGCTAATATTGCTGGTTCGACCCCAGTCTAGTTCGAATTAAAAAATGCATAGGGGGTGTCATTCGCGGGTTAGTGTAATTATAGTCAACACATTGGGCTCATGTCCCAAAGATATTGGTGCAAGTCCGGTATCCGCATAATCACCTATTTAGCTTTCCATTTAACTAACGATCTGATTTTATAGTGGTGGTGGTGGTGGTCTGGGGGTTGTAGCTTAATTTGGTTAAAGCCTATCACTCATGATGATACAATTGAGTGTTCGAGTCACTTCAGCCCTAAGTTAAATAACAATTGATGGCCACAATAATAACGTCTAAGTGCTGGAATCGGTAGACAGTAGTTGCTTAAGCTAACTTGGATTAGTCCGTGCGAGTTCAAATCTCTCCTTAGATAGATAACCTGCTTCTGTTTTACATTTTATGCTGCGCCCTTTGGTGCAATAAAATAGAAGTATGCTGCCCACCTACCACATTTTATTAACCTTTTGCTTAATGATTAGGTTGAATTCCTAGCTCCGCTAACCATTTCCCCCTAGTGTTAGGAGTAGATAGGGGAATAAGGAGCTAGGAAAATATAAAGATTAAAATAGTGGGTAGATGAGGGAATAAATAATTGTTGTGGGGTTCTTCCATCCAGATTTAGGGGTACTAGTTTAATAGGGGATATAGTTTAACTGGTAAAACTCCGATTTTGCGTATCGATATTCTTGGATCGACACCAAGTTTCTCCAAGTAGAAGTAATAGTAATTAGTTGAAATTAGATAATTACAAGTTCGAGTAACTCAATGGTAGAGTGTAACATTGAAGCTGTTTTGGTTGTAAGTTCGAGTCTTACCTCGAACAGTGAATAGTCCGGGCCTAAGACCAGTAGTAAAGGAGCCATAATAGTTGTTATATACTTACAGGTGGAGTCTTAGTATAGAGGTTATTGCAAGTGGTTTTTGCTCACTTAAACGACGGTTCGAGTCCGTCAGATTCTATCAATTACATATGCAGAGCTAAGCTAAGTTAAGTTAAGCTATAAATAGGTGTGTTGGAATGGTAGACAAACTCCGTTTAGGTCGGAGAGGCAGCCCGTGCCGTGCGAGTTCAAGTCTTGCCACCTATACGTTTGACATAAGATAAAAATCAAATAGAGATCGGTGAAGATAAAGATATGTCATCGTCTAATCGGGGTAGGACTTACATTTTTGGTATGTGCAGAGGGTGTTCGACTCACCTTGGCATAAATATATAACAATTTCACAACAAATACAATGATTATACTATCACTAATTTTCTTATTACTATCTAATTCCGTCAATAACAGACGTGATCTTTCTACTCTATGCAATAGGGTCTGATTGATAAATTTAACTTACGCTTTATTATACCATTTCTCGGTATATTCTACATCTGATATTGCTCTACATGGTGGTTTAATTAAACTAACTAATATTAGTCTACCATATGTACATAAGATGGGAAAAAGAAGCTACTCAACTCGTCACGGTCGAGATCTAAAACGTGATGCTGAAAAGATAAATGAAAAAATATCGAATCAAAGAATCACTATATATTCCCCCCCCATCCTTCTAATTTTATTATAATAAAATATAGGGGGGGGAATCAGGAAAGTGGGAGTTAGCTTTAAAGTATCTATTAACGGGACTAATTACCCTAAACCTTAGTCGGTAAGCCTGGTATCAGACCAGGTAAAGCCGGAGTATATATATTAACACATAAAGTTACCGGTGAAAAATATGTCGGATCAAGTAATCATCTAGCCACAAGACTTCATGAGTACATAACTTTTAAGAAGTTTTATGGTAAAAATCGAATCTATAAAGAGTCGGGTAAACTATTACCACTGCTGGCAAAAGATGGGTTAGTGGCATTTGACCTTGAAATCTTTGTTCTACCAGAAGAACTAAACACAGGCTACAACCATATGTTCTTAGAGCAATGGTTTCTTTTAGCTGCGAAGCTGCTCATTATAATTTAAACACACATAGTATTGTTAATTTTATTTTTTCCCCTACCCCCCTTAATTCCCCCCTATGGTTAATTTTTAAGGGTTTATTTTTTCCTAGCTCCGCTAACTAAGGGGGGAAAAACAGGAGCTAGGAAAACAGGAGCTAGGAATAGGGAAATAGTGAATGGAAAATTTTCAGTTTATGTTTACGACTCACAGGGGAAAATCTTGTACCATCAAGCTACATCTGGGAGCGCAATTAGACTTAGTCTTGGTGTACATCCTAAATCTATGTCGAAATGTATCAGGGACGGAAAACTGTATCTGGATCATTTCCTTATTACGCATGTGTTAAACCCTGATGCCCAAAAAGCTGGCTTATCTTTAGAGGAGTTATCTCTTTTAAGCAGATTACAGCAATACTAAGCACGTGGATATCCATTCCTGAAATATTTGAGGACAAAAGCTTGATTGCTACCTAAATATTTTTTAGCTTTTGCTTAAGCATCCTTCGGTAGACAAAAAAAAGGTAATTTTAGTATAACGGTTAATACGCTGACTTGTGGTGTCAGAAGATTTAGGTTCGAATCCTGAACATTACCCAGTAAGAAGACGAGACGAGACGTGCTAAAGTAGTTTAACGGTAAAACGCCCGACTCATAGCAGGGAGAATTAAGTTCGACTCTTTTCTTTGGCTACATTTGTCGCTCTAGGGGTAAATTAATAGGGGGATAAGGCTGACATTATTCGTCCAGATTGCTAGTCATACTCCCGCAATTTAGGTACGTCTAATCTCTCCGACCAACAAAACAAAGTCCATAATCAATGATTTTATTCTCAATTATAATCTTACTACTATCTAACTCCGTCAATAATAGACGAGATCTTGCAATTCTATATAATAGAGTCGGCATGATAATCTTAGTGTACGTAATACTGAATTATTTAAAGGTGTACTCTTTAAACCTCACAGACATAGCTCTACACGGGGGTTTAATTAAGCTAACGAACATAAGCCTTATGTTAGGGTTATTTATATTAACGATGAGTATATTGGTATTAGTTCTAACTAGTTTTACAGTTAAGGGTTGTCAATTGCCAGAGTACCCATTATTGTTATTAATGATTATCATAGGTGCACTAATTTTAATATCATCAAATGATTTAGTGACAATGTTTCTCGCACTGGAGATTCAAAGCTATGGATTATACACTATCTGTGCAATCTATCGTAACTCAGAAGTCTCTGTATCAGGAAGTCTAATATATTATCTATTAGGGATATTGGGTTCAAGTCTAATATTATTAGCAATTGCAATAATTTATGCAAACACAGGAAGTACCCGTATGGATACAATAAGTGTACTGTTAAATATAAATAGTACGGCTATATACTCAGATGATTGAAACATATCACTAGTTCTTCTAGGAGCTGGCTTTATGTTTAAGATAGGAGCTGCGCCCTTCCACATGTGAACGCCTGACGTCTATGATGCAATCCCTACACATATCGGTGCATTTGTTACGTTTATAGCTAAGGTATCAATATTTGTGTTCTTGATGCAATTAATCAATGTAATAGAAAATAATTACAGTCTTACATTCATGATCTTGATGTGCTCACTGTTGTCCTTAATAGTAGGTACGGTCCTAGGATTGACGCAATACCGAATTAAAAGATTATTGGCTTATAGCTCGATCTCACACATTGGGTTTATACTTCTAGCCCTTAGCTTAGGTACTGTAGAATCAAAGTTAGCCTTTATTTTCTATCTAATGCAATATATTATTAGTAACTTAAATATATGATTGATCCTTGTCGCAATAGGATTAACATTAAGCTCTAGAACTAAAAGTAGTGATGGCAAACTATATGATATGACGAACTCGCCTATCCAGCTAATTTCGCAGTTAAATGGATATTATTATCGTAACCCTGTTCTGGCCATAAGCCTAACTGTTACAATATTTTCCTTTTTAGGGATTCCACCGTTAGCAGGATTCTTTGCAAAACTATTAGTATTATTAGCAGCTCTAGATAAAGGTCTTATCTTCTTAACAATAATTGGTGTAATTACAAGTGTTATTGGAGGAGTCTACTACCTAGGAATTGTGAAAGAGATATTCTTTGCCGAGCCTTTTTTTTATTATAATAAAAAAAATAAGGATAGACCAGCAGTTGAGAAAATAACTGTCCCGGCCCCATTAGCGTTAATCATTTCTGTAATAACAATCTGAATATTAACTTACATGCTAATGGATACACTATGGATAAGTATGGCTGCCGTATCGGCAATGTCTACCCCAAATTAGCAAAATGAGTAGTCTAACTTTCATATTTATATTAGTCGCGATCTTGGCTATCCTATTTTTAGTCTTAAATTCCTTATTAGCACCAAGAGACCCTAATTCTATTAAGGAATCTCCTTTCGAATGTGGTTTCAGCTCGTTCCTTGGGCAGAGTAGAGCACACTTTGACGTCCAGTTTTTTCTGGTAGCCCTAGTTTATCTACTATTAGACTTGGAAATTTTAATAATTTATCCGTTCGCCATGAGTGGTCGAGAAAATGGATTATACGGACTAATTATCGTTTTAATTATAATCGGTATTATTACAGCGGGCTTCATATTTGAACTCGGTAAGAAGGCTTTAAGTATCAACAGTAGACAAAAATCCTATTAATCTTGATACAATCTTAGCACAATTCTACTAAAATCTTATCCTTCTTTTTTTTTAATATATCTTTTTGGTTTTCCCTAACCTCCCGCAGGGAGGTATGGGGGAAAAATTTAAGCATCCTTCGGTAGCAAAAAAAAAGGTGATCCGTCCCTAGATATATAGGAGGCTATACAGTAAGATTAAAAATTAGAAATCAAATAATAATAATAAATAAGCAATGCAAATCATAAACCTTTATTTAACAACTATCTTAATGGACGCGCCAACGCCTTGATCGGTTTTCTTTCAGGACAGCGCAAGCCCTGCAATGGAAGGAATCATCGAGCTGCATAATACAGTGATGTTTTATCTAGTCTTAATCTTTATAGGCGTTAGCTGAGTGCTATTTTCTGTCATAAGAAATTTTATAGCAACGAAATCTCCGATATCACAGAAATATCTTAACCATGGTATATTGAAAGCAGTGCCTTTTCTTAATCAAATAGTGCTTTAAGTTAAAAATTATTAAATAAACTTAAAAGAACTGTCACCCTAGCAAGTATAATAGTTGGGTGACGCATCCTTCTTCCCCCCCCCTTTAATTCCCCCCATAGGGGGGAATAGGGGGGGTGAGAGCAAGAAAAAATTCCACTAATTGCTGGAAACTCCCTTTACTATTGGAGCATCAGCAGGTAACCCTCAAACTAAAAAATGAAGGATCTTCAGAGACTATATGTGGAAATCTCTAGTATTAATAGTAAATGAGATAAGATATAGTCCATGTAAGTGTTAATCTACTTACTGATTTTCCCCCCAAGGGCCAAGGGGGTAATATAAGACTGTGATAGAAATTATATGAACGGTGACACCCGCCATTATATTAATATTAATCGCGTTCCCATCATTCAAACTGCTATATCTACAGAATGAAGTCCATGATGCGAGCTTGACCGTGATCGGACGAGGCCAACAGTGATACTGAGCGTATCAATATCCAGATTTTATTACGGCAGATGGAGATCCTATAGAATTTGATTCTTATTTAATTCAGGAGTCAGACCTGGAAATGGGAGACCTTAGAATGCTAGAGGTAGATAATCGTTTAGTTTTACCGGAGAACACTAATGTTAGATTAATTTTAACTAGCGGAGATGTCATACATTCGTGAACTATCCCGTCACTCGGTCAGAAGCTTGATTGCTACCCCGGGAGACTTAATCAGACGAGTGTTTTTATAAATAGGCCGGGAATTTTCTACGGTCTTTAACATTGGCCTAAACTGTTCCAGAATACAGTCAAATCATCAAATTGCGGGGATCTTCTAAAGATATCTTAACCAAATTAGACTAGCGATAGATCTAATGGCACGTCTAACGACTCGTGGTAGGGTAAAATCAAGATATATAATATGGACAATCGCGCAGCCAAGTACCCACAACTGAATGACAGTGTGGTATGCAGTTCATCGACTAAACGGTGGTTAATGAAAACTATCTAGCAATATCATTTAAAATATAGTCAAGCCCTTCTTGAAAAAGTTCAGAAACATTCAGACTTTGAATTTTTGTATATTAGACACGGATATACGTGTTTAGGATTATAGCAATGCTCTGAGCTCTGTGGGATACTACATTCATCCATGCCTATCGTGGTTGAAGCTGTTTCACTTGAAAAATTTGTGCACTTCCTATCTAACGCTTAAAGCTTTAAAGCTTACAATAGGATTAAGACAATCTCCATAAGACAATAAGGAGAAAGGGTTGTAATTTAATTGGCAAAATTCGAGGCTACGGACTTCGCGATCGTAGTTCAAATCTACGCGGCCCTGACTTTAATATATCTCTCTATTAGTTATATTATAACAAAAAAAAAGAGAGAAGGACCGTACCTAAGATGAAGGCAGAATGTGACAAATTGTTAGTATTTTCCCTCCGGGTAAAAAAGGTTATAGAGAGGATTGAGAAAAAATCGATTGGAAGCTTGTCTGTAGATGTATCTAACATATAAGATATTAGCATTTTATACAATCTAGTCAATTATTCTTTCGCTCCATAATAGAAAGCAGGAAATAGAATTATTTGGAACTAGCTTCGCTACAAAAAAAAAACAATGACATTAACTATAATAACAATTTATCTAATCGGAGTTTTGGGCTTCGTTTTAAATAAGAGGAACATAATTATGATGCTTATCTCGGTGGAGATAATGCTACTAGCTATAACTTTCCTAATACTGCTGAGTTCGATCAATTTAGACGATATGGAAGGCCATGTGTTAGCAATATATATTATTGTAGTAGCGGGAGCCGAGTCTGCGTTAGGTTTAGCAATTCTAGTTGCATTTTATCGATTAAGAGGATCAATCAATATAGCAAATAACAACACATGTATCTAACAATTATAATTCTGCCATTTTTAGGATCGATAGCCGTAGGACTATTCGGAAGAAAATTGGGGGTAGTTGGATCTCAGATTATTACATTAAGCTGTATCTTAATAACTTCCGCTTTAGCTATAATAAGCTTCTTTGAAATTGGATTTACCGATAGTACGGTTACAGTCCATCTGTTTCAATATTTAGGAGGTGATCTATTAAACATAGGTTGAACCTTTAAATTTGACAGTCTAACAGTATCAATGCTGCTGCCAGTAACATTTATTAGTCTACTAGTTCAGATTTACTCAGTTAGCTATCTGAAAGGTGATCCTCACTGTCAGAGATTCTTTTGCTACTTAACACTATTTACTGCATTCATGGGTATATTAGTGAGTGCTAATAATTATTTAGTGCTATTCGTAGGTCTTCTCGGCCTTTTTATATTATTCACTCCTTGATATAATTTAACAATCTACAAATTGCTGGGACATCAATTCTTCTTATGATGATGATGATAATCAGCAGGGTATTTAACATTTGTTAGACCTTTAGAGACTATACGTGGAATACCTTATTCATTTAGATAAGAGGTAAAAAGATAGTCCAATATTATTGGAGATAATAATAATCATTTGCTTATGGATCATCTTAACAAGTTAGGA